TGTTGTGAACTGATATATAATTTGTAAACATAAAAAAAGAACAACATACATGATGTGTGGCACCAGTATTAATTACCTAAGTATTGGGTGGAATAAATGGATGTGAGATAGAAAGAGCAGAAGAAGAATTACCATGGATGTGAGAAATAGAGGGTGTTGTGGCCGAATGAGATTCAAAGGTGGTAGCGCCATGAACGTGAAGCTGTCACGCCCCCCCAAATGGGGTGGGTGACGTGGAGCTCGATTTGGGATTAATAAAGCAGGTTCCCAACCGAGCCCCACACTTAATTGCATTAAAATATGAATAAATTACATTACAGAATCCCGGAGCCTCTGACACACAGGGCTCCACCCCACAGGACATACAGTATCGTACATACATGCTCATGTAAATAATTATTACAGTAGACATCAACCACAGTCTAGTAAATCCAAATATTATATAAGTTTACAGAATTTCTCAAATTCTTTACATTTGTCCAAGAGGATGTCCACGATCCTCACTTGATTCTAACAGCAGCACAACTCAGCTGCTCCGTAGCAAATATCCAGCTACTGTGCACCGCTCCTAGAATCTCCTGGGAGGGGTTTAGTACATTTAAAACATAAAACGTGAGCGAAAGGCCCAGTAGGATATAATTTGAAATAAATGTTATAATAAGTGTGCATGGGAATACATAAATGAATAAGTAAATAAAATAAGACATTAAGTCCCGACAGAACAGCCGGAACCTCACATCCTTTTTCTCAAAGGAAATGTAACTGTAAATAACCGTTTTACAGGTTTCAGCAAGTAATTAGTACAAATTACTTACCTAACCAAGTGCCTCGCCTACCCGGACTGAGTTTCAGGTTCTGCCCCCGAGGATGCACTCTCCGCATCCTATCTAGGCTTACAGCAATAGACTCTATTACCAGTTCACAAGATCTCTTTGCTTAAGAAATCAATCATTAATATTTTGAAATCGTTAATACGACCCCACGAACTTTTCAAGCCACGGGCCCCGTGACTGGACAAGCCATGAGGTTCCATGACTAAACAAGCCATGGTTTTCAAAGCGTTTTCTTTCACAAATCAATCCCTTTCTTTAAAACATTTTCAAGGCCAAAATCCTTTTTGAAAACAGGCTCACAAGGAAAAAGGATAGAAATCCTACCTCGGACTATCAAACCTGGGACTAGCGTTGCCTTTTCCGGCTTCTGCTTCCTCAAGCCCCTTCAGTCTGAATCCTCAGCGATCGCTAATGCAAAACAACACTTTAGGATTAATTCTCATTCCTAAAGTAATCCAAAAGTCAATTTCCAACCAAGATTTCCTATTAGTGTGCCCTAATCCATTTTCATGTTTCAAATTATCATTCCAAGGGTTTTCAATCTCAAAACAAGGATTAAAAATGCTAATCCATTTATCTCAAGTCCCCAAATGAAACTAATTTGGGTTCTCCCCGAAAACAGGGGTCAAAACAATAATTCCATACCAAACAAGGTCAAACCCCGTGTCAACCAGTCGACCGGTGACAGAGCAGTGCAACACTACTGGTCG